TGGAAATTTATTTACTATATAGAGTAATTTTGGCATTATGCCAACGGCTCTATTTTTCTATTCCTCTGTATATTTTCTCTTTAAAAATTATACACGATTTTGAGCAGAGAACTAAACTTTTATCTAAACATCAAATATTTTTGAGTATCTATCCTAACTTTTTAAGATTTACATCACTAATTTGCCTCTGCCTATCTTATTTTACCTATCATATTTTAATTGCCTCTAAGTATCGTCTTCCCAGTATAGCAGCACTTAAAGATTTCCCGCAACCTCAACTTTACGTAATTTCCCTTTCCTCCTCCATGGCAAGCAGGGTAACTGAAAGCTAAAACAGAGCTCACGCCCGCAGTTGTAATGCGAAACTTATTAACATACTTCAGGGCAACATGCATTAGAAGTGCATATATGTATGTCTGCTTGTATGTACGTCGGTGTGTATTTAATTGCAGGTGCGCCCAGGTGGGCGTGGCCTTGCCACAGCTTGACAATAAAATACAGGATGCATTGGGCCTGCAAATTATGAAAGCAAAAAAAAGAAACGCCCGCAACGCCAGCGCAACGGTTATTGAAACCCGTTGCATTACACATACGCACACACACACACACACACCTGCTGACACGCACACACAAGTGTAGCTATGCAGCTGGCTTCCACATGCATATATGCCTATACATATGCAAACGTGGCGTATACGCAATGCTGTGTAGTTGCTACAGCTGTGTGTGTATCTCTCGCCTGCTTTAGCTGTAGTTAATATGAAAATCTGTATATGTGTGCGGGTGTACGTAAGTAGGTGTGTGTGTGCGTGTGACTGGCGAAAATAGGTCAGCTGTAGGTTGCTGCTGCTGCTGCTGCTGTTAAACTGGGCGTGACAGCAAAAGTGGCAAAAGCTAAAGTTCCAGCTCAAGCAAAATAGAAACGCGGTAACAAAAAAAAAAACGGCGAACTTCTGGCCATAAAGTAGCTAACCGAAAAGTCACCAGTTAATTGGGCGCTGGTGGGCGTGGCTGGCTGACAGTCAGTCAAACAGGGGCAGCTGCATACCAGGGCGCAACTAGTGGTTAATATTTGATAACTGCTTTGCATACACACACACATAGATAGATAGAAAGAGAGAGAGAGAGAGTGATAAAGAGGGAGAACGAGCGGGTGTGAGAGAGAAAGACAGCTGCAATAGCAGCGACCTACTTTCTGACAATGCATTTTTGCAGCTGCAACAGACGCTGACGCTCTCTATATGCGTGTGTGTGTGTGTATGTATGCGTGTGGCATCAACAAGTATATAGCAAAATACGCAGCAGCACGCCCCATTATTCTTCAGCTTTATCAGCTGCAGCTGCAGCTGCAGCTGCATCTGCATATACAAGACGCTGTCCAAAAAGAAATAAGCAAAGACATGAATAAATAACCAGAAAAAAAATTGAAAAGTGAGAAGCAACAGCTAAGCTACAACTTTAGGGAATTGCTCTGCTCAAAAGTTGCAGTGCCTTCGTTGCTTTTATGCTGCTTGTTGCGCTTAATAAATCAATTTGAACGTCATAAAATAGCAATAAGCTACGAAATACTCTGGGAGCTGCTCAAGTGCAAAAAGTGCAGAGGCAACGAAAATGCATCCGGATATAATATATGCGAGTGATAAATGTATGTATATGGCTTAAAGTTTTTGGCATTTAAGTTTTTATTTATTTGAACTAGATTTCTCTCTTGAAAATTATACATAAAAAAGTTAAAGATATTG